AACAAGTTAAAACAGTGTTTAATATTTCTTTTTTTTTTCATAAACAAGTTAAAACAGTGTTTAATATTTCTTTTTTTTTTTCAAAATATTATCAGCAAATTGTAATTAAAAAAAACAACTCCATGACGATACGGTATACAAAACCTTTAACTCATTTTTAATTTGCAGAAAAAAAATATTTATGCTAAAAAATACCCTTAAAATTTTAATTCGATTTTTATAAAATCTATTAACAAAAAGAAAGCATCCCTATTAAAAAGTAGACTCGGGACCTAAAAATATTCCAATCTCAATTCTAAAAGTCTTTTAAATAATACTTCTTGTATACTTTTTGAACTGTTTAATCTTTTGTTAGAATATTCTGGTGTACCTAAAAAAATCTTATAGTAACCCATACAATAGAATCAAAACTACCAGACCGTATCATTATTAGACTATCATTATTAAATGTCTATAAATTATAGAAAAATAGATTTGTTATTGTAATTATCGTTTCCATTTTTTAACATTTTTACATGCTTCAATGATCGACAATTTACACTTAGTTTAAAATGTTCCAAACTTTTGTTAGCATTACCAATTTATTTTTTACCGATGTTTTGTTTTTGTTAAAAAATGTTACAATACTTTTAAAAATCCGATAATTAATGATAACAAGAAATGCTCCGTTAAATGCTACTCTGTATTTTTTATATTTATTTATAAGGCAATGTTTATTTGGTTGTGTCATTTGATTTCATAGAATGGTTATTGCTTAGACTTATTTTAAATTTTAAGAATTTTTTAGCTTAAAATTGTTAGTTTTGTTATAAAAGGTCATGTGTTGAAATGTATTTACTCATAAACAGATGCAATTCAATTACTTCACATACAGATACCAGGCCCGTAACTAGAGGGATGGAGGTGATTAGGGTGGCTGCCACCCTCCTTTTTTTTTAAAAAAAAGGCCAATCTCAGAATTTTACTAATTTTATGGTTTTGCTTATTTTTTCATTAAAAGTACCTTTAGTTAAGTTAACCTTAAAAATGCTTGTTGTCTCAAGAATTTTTAAAATTCTTAGTTCTGTCAACTATAAAAACACAATTACTAACAAAAAAGTCAATTAAATTTTATTACATAACAACATAATGCATGAAAGGTTAAAAGTTTTTTTGAAACATTAACCAATAGAAGTGCTTTTTAAAAAATAAATAGCTACAAATTTAAAATACTCCAGTATATTTCATACTGGAATAAAATTGTTATGTATTAGATAGCAATGTGTTTTGCTTTTGTCTTATTGCATAAGAATTAAGACTTATCTCATGCGTTGTGTTTTTCTGTATTTTTAAACATTCGTTTTTACTTTATTCTTATAAGTTGCTAAGTTTACCATGAATCAAAAAAGAAAAGGTGAGGAACTGATTAAAAAACTTAAAAAGTTAACATCTTCTGCAATGAATGTGTGAAGTTGTCATCTTATTTTTATGAAAAAGACATACGCAAAACGAAAACATGAGCAGGTCTTCAATAGACCTCGTATAACAACAACCACAGGTTTTTCATGAGAATATGCCAACATCTTTTAAAAACCATATTTCCTCTGACATATTCGCAGAAAATAAAGTCGGACGAGTTATCGTTTTTTATTGCGACCAGTAATCATCAACAAAACGACCTTAAAATAGTCAAAGAACTCTCAAAAATGATGTCATGTTATACCAACACACTTCTTAAAAAATTTTCAATCAAATGGATGGGCGAATGTTAATTGGGCATGCTATTCTGTTGTGCAGCAAGGTTTGTTTTGCGGCCCATGTGCTTTGTTTTTTAAAAAAAGAAATGATAAGGGGTCTTTTGTTAATAGAGCCTTTATTAATTGGAATAAGCTTAACGAAAAATTAGATTATCACAAAAATAGAATTTATCATAAACGTTGTTTGGACGAATATTATACTATTCAACCAACACTTGAAAATATTTCTTTTAGAGTAGACAGTCAACTGAATCAAATACAATACACGAATTTTTTGAAATGTCTCATGAAAGCTGTTATTTATTTTGGAAAACAATGTATACCTCTGCGTGGTACGCTTGAAAATATAGGTAAACTTGGAAATTTTGGTAACTTTCTTTCACTGCTTAAATCTATGGGAGATTTTAACAGTGAATTTCAACAGCATTTGTTCAAAATTGTCTAAAAATGAAAAATGCTCGTTATATTTCAGCAAAAATTCAAAATGAGATTAGTTCAGTTTTAGGCAAAGATATGGTACAAGCTTCTATAATAAAAGAAATAAATAAAGCCAAATATTTCTCTGTCCTTGCAGATGCAATTAATTCTCACCATACAGAGCAACTATCTCTTGTACTTAGATTTGTTGATAAGAAACATGAGATACGCGAGGAGTTTGTGGCATTTGTAAAGTTGGAGCGTGTGAGAGCCGAAGATATTTTTATTAAAATTAAACAAACTTTACATGAGCTTAATTTGAATATTGAAAATAAGAGAGGCCAAGGATACGATGGTGCAGCATCAATGGCAGATTCTTTATCAGGTGTACAAGCCCGATTTCTGAGCATTCAACCAAAAGCAATATACACCCATTGCGCTTGTCATAGACTTAATTTGGTTATTAGTCATTTTTGAAAAATACCTGAAATAAGAAATGTGTTAGATATAATGAAAGAGTTTACAAAATGGATGAAAAATAGCGCAAAGCGAGCTCTTAAAATAAATTTAATAATTAAAATAAATTTATAAATTTAAATTTTCCACATTTATCAATTTAAAAATAGCGCAAAACGAGCTTCTTGACTTGGTGTACCGAAACAAAACCATTTTCACACATTGAATAGTCAAAAGGTTCTTACTGATATTTGTGTTACGATATGGGTTGAAAATTTAGATGGTTGGAAGAAATTTTGTTTAGCTCATCCGTTTCTGATAGTATTTTGCGAAGTCATTTCAAAGAATCGATGTAGCAATAATTCTGAATATGCCAAATGGCTGCACGAGTAAACTGCTGAAGACAAGCGTCAAGCACTGTCTTTTCTGAATGCGTTTGAGAGTTTTGATTTTATTATTTCATTAGTTACATTACAGCGAACGATGTGGTTTCTTCGTAAGCCTATAGTTAAGTTGCAGAACAAATCTGGTGACATTATATACGATTTTAAATCATGAGAACAGACATAAATATATTTACTAAACGAATATATAAGCATGCATCGTGTCTTGCCCAAAAATCAAATATAAATCCAGTAGCGCCACGAGTACACACAGGTCAACAATCTCATCGAGCGAATCCGCCCTTTGAAACTATTGAAGAATATTTCAAAAGGTCTCTCTTATTCTTATTCATTTATTTGCCGTACATTTAACATTTACAAGTTTCGTAAATTAAAAGTTGTAATATTTACAAGTCTCGTGAGTCAAAATATATAGTGAAATTTATAATTAAATAGTACAGGCCAGACTTCAAGAAGATCGTAATGATCTTATCACGAAGCCCTTGCAATGTGTTTAATATATATTATGATTATGTTAAATATAATTATATATTAAGTACAACTATATTTTTATATTCTTTAAATTAAGCTCATAATAAAAAATAAACTCAAAATAAGCTCAGTATAAAATATTATACATAACAAGCAGCATAATATCTAAACTTGATAAGAAAAAATCAAGTGTTTTTTTTGTGTGTAACAAATAATTTTTGATATATTGTTTGAGAAAGGTAAGAGTCATTTAGATAATACACATAAACGAGTCAGTTCACTTTGTAGTTGATATATATGTATTTTAATTTATAGTCTCAGAAGAATTCTGAGTATCTGTTTAGATTCAGTATCAGATTTTTTAACTTTTTTTTCAAGGAATTTTGATTGCGAATTGAATCTAGATTGCAAATTGATTTATTTTTAGTTACTAGTTTGTTGTATAAATAAGGACCCCGATATGAAATTGAGAACTGGGAAAGTTTTGTTTTTTTGAAAGGTGTAATAAAGTTTCCTTTTTCTCTTGTGTTATATTTATTTCAAATCATCAGAAACGAATAAGTTATTTATAAGTTTTGTACCTTCTATTATCTGCGTCAAAATATCAGTGGAGCTATCTGAAATGACACAAAAAGCTATGATATATTACAAAAGTGATCTCCCCATCTCTAGTTTCCCTGATGAAAAAATAATTATGTGGCAAAAAATGTGGCTTAGATGTCAAATAATCGACCCTCAAATGCTGCTAGTGCTCTTAAAGAATATAAGCCTGAAAAGTTTCCAAATATTTACGTTGTTCTTTCCCTTGCATGTGTTCTTGCTGTCATTACCACAGAATGTGAAAGAACAGGAAGTGTATTTCGACGCCTTAATGCCATATGTTGTTAACATCCTTGTTGTTAACTTAATTTTCTTTAGTTACATTATATTAAAAGTGGCGGGAAATTTAGTGTTTAGTTATAATATATAAAAAAACGACCTTTAAATTTTTTTTTTTTAAACAGTGGACCGCAGTAAAAAATGTGTCACTCTCCACAAAGTAACAAAAGAATAATAGAAAAGTTGAATCACATCGAAATTTCTCGGTGTACTTCTTGACGAAAATGTGACGTATGACGAAAATGTGACCCTATGCATTACCTCAAAAATAAAAACTCAAAGAATAATTACCTGCTTGTTAGAGCAAAATTTTAATCCGATTGGTTTGAAACTTTTACGTTTCTTTTTCATTCACTGTCAAATTAAATACGCAAACATTGTTTCGTGCAGTACAAATAAAAATAATGATAAAAAAGTCTTCAATAAACAAACGCATGCAATAAGAATTATATCCAACGTGGGCCGTTAAACGCATTTCTAAGAATTATTTACTAAATCAAATGTCTATCTGTGATAATCTAATACCCATGAACAAATGACGTAATCGCAACAAAATCGCGGCGTTTGGAATTGGCAAATTATTTGCGTTACAATTCTGCTCGTCAAACATTAACGTTATTTAGGCGTAAATGTTTATACCAAGTTAATGTATGACGAGCCAAATTGTTGTTGCGGTAATAAAAAAATTTTACTCGATTTTTTTTTTATTCAAAGCAGGGTACTTCAGATTCTTGCACACAGATTTCTTCAGATTTGTGTAAACATTAAACGTTATAAAAAACATTATATGTAAGATTTTTCTAAAATTACTAAATGTACGGTTTATTTACAAAAACTGAAAATATATTTCTAAATATATGCAATTTCTACATTTTTGTATTTAAAAATTATATAAATTATTATTATAACCACCATATATTATGTAACAAATAATTTATATGTAAAATAAATTAAAATTATAAAATTCATGTATAGTTTTTGAGCACAAAAATGCTCTGTGATAACAAAAGTTTGAGACAAGACAATTTCAGAACTATTTAAAGCGCCTAATAACTAACGAAAAAAAAAATATATATATAAATTCGTTATATATTATTAATGGTATTAAATTTGATATATAAAGTTTGTTAATTATTAACTTAAATTATTTAAATTAACATAAAATGTCAAACAAAAAACAAATTTGTTGTTTATATATTTACAGTAGTTTGTAATAATGTAGATTTATCAATATTATTTTCAAACTGTTAATAAAATGACTTTTAAATAAAAAATTTTATATTAATTATAAAAATTTATTTTATTGACAGCCTAATAATAAGACAATAAGCTAATATAGTTCTTGCGCCATACTTAACTTAAATGTGCCAAAAATTCAGAAATTTATTAAAGTAACACATTAATGTATATACTTATGTCAAATAATGATGCTTGCCATGATTGGAGGCTGGGAACGAAAAAGGTCTTTATCTTCATCTCCTCTCCCTAAACCCAAACTTGAAAAATGTTATGTAAATATTTTTCACAGTTTCTAGAATTATTGAACAAAAAAAAGATTGTTTATAGAATTATAGAGAGAACCCAGTAGGCACAGATTGTTTTTAAAACGTTTGAAAAACGTTAATATTCGTTTTTATAAGTTTTTTAAACGTTTTAAAAACATCCTGTGCTTACTGCATATTATAGAAATTTTGTTTTATATTCCTTTTGCAAATCAAAATTTGCAAAACAAATATATAACGTTGTTCATATGTATAAAAAACATTCTGCCTGGGAGAGAAAAAAAAAAATAATTTAGCGTGATGTTATTTGTTTCCCATGTATTCGACTTAGATATGATAATCTTAGTATGATGTATTCGACTTAGATATGATAATCTTAGGAGCGATTTTTATATCTAGAAAAGTTGAAAGAACATTAACGACATAAAAAAATTTCTCGCCTCGCATGTGCCGAATGTATGTAAATAGTGCAATTGTATAATAAATATGTAATTATTGTGTTAATAGTAAAACTACATAACAAATATGCAATTATTTTCTTATTGTTGTACTAAGAATAGATGGTATTTTGTCTGGCTTTTTTCTGTAACGTGTGGGAAGTGTGACAAAAAATTTTTTTATTTTTTCGCCAATGCATTTTTTTATCTACCGGATCAAATATGTTGCTGTGGCCTTTCTTAGACACAGACACAATAAAATATTGCATAATTTTTGCTAGTTTTATTTATAGTTAAGTTGTTCTTAAAAATTTTAGTTTAGGATTAATTTAAACTTTTACAATTGCAACATGATAAAAAATAAGATATTTATAGAGTGTGAAATTAATTTAACTTTTTTTGTGTTTATATATTTTTATTGAATTTTTTTCAAAAGTATTGTAGTATCCCTTTTATTAAAAATGTTTAAGATTTTTTTTTCTACATTTTTTTTTAAACTAAGTTTTTTTGGCTAGAGTTTCGGCATAGTGATGCAACTGCAGCGTGAAAGTTAGCATAAACTCTCCAGATATTGCGTGGCTAAAAGCTGTCAAGCCAGTACGCGACCAAAGATAAAAAAAAACAACAGATGAAACTAGCAAAACTTAATACAACATTTTTTTTACTAATATCTATTTAGTAAAAATTTTACAACAATGTTTATAACAAATTGAGTTTTTATACTTGAAAGAAAATAGAGAAATTAAAATGAGCTACCACTAACTACCACTAACAAGTTTTTAACAAGACCGCTAATGGAAACGTAGGACGTATTTTGTCAAAAACAAGAAAACTGGAAACAAGTTAAATGTATATGGAAAGGTAAATATAATTATGGAAAATAATGTTGGCAGTTTTTGACAAAAAAAAACTTATTTTTACTGCGAGCGCAGTAAAAATAAACTTTTGAAGTAAAATAAATTTTGTGCAAAAATGAAATGTCGAAACTTAAAGCGGAGTTAAAACGCTTATAGCTATAGATGAAGTTGATACTAAAAATTCTTAAAAAACAAAACTGAAACCAATATGAAACTTATATGAAATCCACATAAAAAAAAAGGTCCCTAATTTCCCGATTTACTGACGTGTGATAGTTATCTAAGTCCTATATATAATTATCTAAGTCCTATTTTGCCAAATGAACATATCAAAAAAAAAGGTCCCAATTTACCGACAGATTCATTGAACGGGTATTTCACCGCCTTACCCCCCTCCTACATACTCTTCGCGCCAGCCTTGACTACATCTAGCCATCAATTTTTATTTTGAAGAGCTTATTTAAAAGGAGTAGGAGATTTTGAGAATTGTTTTGTCCTAATTTGAAGAGGTTTAATTTTATATTATTCTAAATATTCTTTTAGATGCAGATGTTAGAATTAATGTAATAAAACAAATATTTTGAAGTGATTTTAAGAATTTCGAAAGTAAAAAATTGTTTCGATACCGTTTTTATGATTTTGATAATATAAAAATATTTCGATACAAAATTTTTGAGATTTGTAAGTAAAATTTTGCTTCGGTGTCAATTTTAAAATTTCAATCGCGTAAAAATTATTTCGATACGAATTATAGAGATTCGAAAGTGAAAAAGTTTTTCGCTGCCATTTCTTGATTTTCGATAATATAAAAATATTTTGGTACAAATTGTAGAGATACGAAAGTGAAAAATTGTTTCGGTAAATTTTTGATAATGTAAATACATTTCGGTACAAGTTTCAGAATTTCAAATGCGAAAAATAGTTTCGGATCTATTCATAGGATTTCGACAATTAAAATATATATCGATAGAATATCGTGAATTTAAAAAGCGAAATTCATTTCGGTTTAAAATTAGGTTATTAGAAATCGTTTCAAACTTACCGAAACAAAAATAGAATTTCGATAAGTTTTTTGAAAATTCAAAATTTTGCAAAAGTGAACGACCCTAGTTTTACGCAATAAAAGATATGGTATAGTGAACAACGTAGATCAATCAGTATTTTATCGACGTAATACGAAAAAAAAAATTTTTTTGAATTCAAAACTTTAATAATTTTCATAACTATTTATTTGATTTGACGGTTTTTATTAAATGCATAAAAAACAAAATGTCAACTAATTTTCCTTTACTCAATTGAAGTTATTTACGAAACATCCAATATCCCAATGCTAATCCTTTAATTAAGAAAAGGCATACGAAAAATTATCCTTTTATCAAAAACAAGTTTGAAAATTTTTTTTTTCGTGTGAGTTGCTAAAAAACTTCTATAACGTCACTGTCACTGCTTGAATATCGGGAGTTGTTTTTTAAAAATTAATTTTAAATTGGATTCAAGCGTTTTTTGCATAAATAATTTCTTCCATAATATAAACATTGACGAAAAATTGTTTAGTTTTAACTTTAAAAAGGTTATTTTTAGATAAAAATAATCTACATTTTTTTATAATTGACACTAAATGGTTCAGCAACCGGTTTTTATTTATTGACATAATATCAGTTTAACACTTTAAAATGTAAAACATTTCGTAGTTTCGTTATTAGAAAAATAAAATAGATGTATTAAAAAATCTTTTAAATTTATTTAAAAGTAGAATGTGAAATAAGAATTAGAAATTAGAGTTAGAAATGAAGAAACCTTGTTTGTTTGGCGATTAATTAATGCTTCCAGTTTAAAAAATCATCTTTGATTAATTTAAATTGATAAGAAGTTCAAAAAAAAAAGTAGGGTAGATTAGGATATATGGACCTTGGTACAAAAGCATACTTAAAGATTTCTTAGATGTAAGAAGTGAAGTTAAAGTTGCTTTATTTTTTTCAAATTGTCTTTATGTGGTGATAACAGGAATCAGTACAATTAGCGTAAATTTATATTCAGTAATTAGCGGCTATTATCTAATTAAAACGCCTTTAAATTTTTTGCGTTGTTAAAATAATATCTTCACGCATGAATAAATCAATAGCACGAAATTTTGGTCCTAAAGTAATGAAATTGATTTTTTCATAAAGAAAAATATGTTAGCTAAAAATCCATTCCATTTTTGTTTGAAAAACAATACGTAGAAACCTTGTGACTTTATTTAAAGATGCCATATGAACATGCTCAAATTACCAAGTATTTTTCATTGAAATTAGTTTAAAGTCCTAAAATAGCAGTGATTTTAATTCTTTTTTAATAAAAACAAAACGTAGCAAAAAATTTTAATATTTTAACAATACTAAATACTTTTCTGTAATTTAAAATTAAAAAATTTGAACTTTTATCGTTTAAAGGATTGAGTTTATAAAATTGAAAAAAAAACGAACTAATCTATTTTTTTTTGCGGAAAACATAGTAGTATTGTTTCAACAAAAAGCGGATTAAAATTTGATATTTTATTGATAGGTTTTGTTAATAACGATTCATTATATTCCAAATATTAGTTCTAATTGTCAGGTTGGTACTTTTTTACTTAATTAATGTTATTTTTTTGAGCTTATTTAAAGTGCTCATATTACCAAGTGGTCTGGGTAATATTAGCAATTTTGCTACTTTTTTAAAACCTCTGTGTTTTTAAAAACAATTTTGGGTATCCAAATATCTAAGTGGATCATTAGTAGGGATCCCTAAAAATTGTTTATTCGCAAATATTTTGGATCCAGCTTAATTATTTTTGAAAATATTCCGATTTTTGCTTAAGGTGCTCATATTACCCTAATCTACCCTTTATATATTTAAAAAAAAACATTAGAAAAAATATTGTTTTTAACTTGTTAATAGAAATGAAAATGCATTGCGTAGTAAGCTGCTTTTTCAAACATGTCTATTGAAGTTAGAAGTCTCAATTGTACAATAAAGAAGCTTAACTGCGCAAGATATTTTCATCTTTAAATGAAATAAAAAAAAGTTAAACAAATTTATGCTTATACTTTTTATTATTTTCCAGTTGGATGAACTCAAACAAAAGTGATTTTAACTTAAAAGAACATCCTAAATAACGCTATCATCCAACATTAACGCGATTTTCGTATTTGATCTGCTAAAGATTGTATTTTTGATTTTGGCTGCTATTTGTTTTATTGATTTACGCGCGCGCGCGCGTGTGTGTGTGTGTGTGTGTGACATAAATAATTTTGCGTGTTCCAAAACGCTATTTCGCATTTTTTATTTATCAACTTTATTGGCTTTGCTAATTAAAATAATAAATTTTAAAATGAATGTTTTTTTTGCTCAGACTTTTAAAAACAATTTAACGTAAGTCTAATCATTTTTTTTTTATGCATCGAAATTAGACAATTTTTGATATTTTTTTTGCTACTAACCTTCGCTATTATGTATCAGATAAACCAACCTCCAATATCTTTCAAACATTTGTTTATAAATCTCATGCTAAATGTATGTAAATAGCTATTGCATCATAAATATTTTGCAACATTTTGCAATAAAAAAAGTTACAACATTGGTCTTTGGTTAATGGTCAGTTGATAAGAATTACTGAACATGTAAAAAAATTGTTATAATATATAAGTTCTGTAAATATAAATCTAAAAAAGTTATTAAGGGATCGTCCATAAAGTACATGGGTTCGGAGGGAAAGAGGGGTCTGCAAATGGCGGATATGAAATGGGAAGGCAGTGGGTCAATTATAAAAGAAAAGAGACACTAAATTTAAAAAAATATCATAAAATGTTAGATAAATAGGTTAAAAGCGTAGGTACTTTTAGGGAGATGGAGGGTACTCAAAAAAGCGTATTGCAAAATGCGGTAGGGGGGGGGGGTTGGACGAATAAAAAGCGTACGTATTTTATAGACGAACCCTAATGACAAACACATGTATTGAAAAGTAATACTTTTGATGTTTACACTGATAAAAGTTGTCTTGTTCATTCAAAATATTTCGTATTTCTCACCAAAATTAAGTTTTTTAATTTTTTTTTTTTTAATATTATATAATTAAATGTTTATTACTTTATTTATGCGTTTTATATATAAATATAGCTATTGTAAAGTGTGCCTATAAAATAATTATGTAACTTAAAAATATAAAACAACAAGTTTTTTTTTCCCAAGTTTTGAAGCTATTGTACGCTGAAAGCACATTCTAAAGTTGTAGCTGTAGATGTGTGATGTATGCCATCAGTGATTTTCATGTGCTACTAAGTGTTTTACTCAAACGTTTCTTTAACGTTAAAGTGCACGAACCAAGTGTTTGGCCATATAATCGTGCTGTTAAAGTCTGCCTGAATTGTTGTGATGTCCAATCCAGACTTTAAGATGCCGATAACTCTGTTGTTGTCAGCGTATAACATTATCTTGTGGACAATCCTATCAAGAAGATTGTTTATAGAAAAGATGCAAAGTAATAGCTCCTAGAACCTTGAGGAACTCGTTCTTCGAGTCAGAAACGCGTTTTCTTAGCATAACCCATCGTTTACGTTCATTTCAATCCAAAAAGCAGATTGTTGCAAATGAAATATGCTTTAAATTTGTATAGAAGACGTTTTTGAGGGACCTTATTGAATACCTTAGAAAAATTGATCTAGATAACATTACCACTATAGTCTTGGTGCATACCTTTGTTATGTGTATTCAAGAAGGTCAGTCAGACTTTTACAAACAAAACCGGGTTGGTGCTTGGAAACTAGATTGTTTACCATGCAGTCATGGCAGTCAGCAAATTTTGGAAAACGAAGACCTTTTTTTTTTTTTTTAACCCCCCTCCACGTGACACCTACTCGCGCCGGCCCTATATATATGTTTAATTAATATTTATGCTTTTGTCAATAATTAAATATGATATATATATATATATATATATATATATATATATATATATATTTTTTTTTTTTTTTTTTTTTTTTTTTTTATACAACACAAGTATCCGTATATATTTCAATAAAACAAAATTACATATTTTTACATATAAGTACAAAACGTACAATTAAACAATTTTGTACCATTAAAATTTTTACATGACAAAAGAAATTCAAAATTCTGTTTAACGCATGCGCGTTGTACAGTGTACAAAATAAGGTAACTTTTCGTTGTTTATAATATAAAGTGCTGGCTATTAACCCATGCATTTAAATAATATATACAAGTCCGTTGTACCGCAGGGCTAGTAGGGACTTGCTTGTGGACGATGTTGAATATATATAAATAAAATTATTCTTGAAAAAATATTTTTCTTTGTTGTATGGAAACTCGCAGAAGACTAAAATAGTCTTTTCATCGGGAAACTTTAAAACATAAAATAAACTTTAATGAACTAGTTCAACAAATACACATAAGTATTTTGGTATCTACTATATAGTAGAAGTAGTAGGGCTTTTATTTATTACTATTTTTCCCAAATTGTTTAATACATTTCGATGAAGTTGGTTAAGTTAATTATGATATGTTTTAGTTTTTTTTTCAGAGCAATAAGGTTATCCGTTTTATTAAATTCCATATTTTGAAGTATTATTTTGTTATGTAAGTATGGGCCACGGTATATTAAAGAAAATCGCGAGAATTTTGTTTTTTTTAAAGGCAAGGTGAAGTTGCCTGTTCCTCGTGTGATATATTTGTTTGCGTTGATATTAAAAAAGCTATCAGTAAAGTATTTCGGAACAAGTCCGAGTTTGTATTTTAGCATGAATACGATATTTTGGTAAATATTTATTTAATAGATATTTAATGCATTCAAATTTTTAAGTAAAAGGTCGGCATGAGTGAATTAATCTTTATTATAAATTAATCTTGATGCATGTTTCTGATGTATGTAGAGTGAATTTAATTTAGTTTTATGGGTACTTCCCCATGCAATATAGCGTATGTTAGGTAACTTTGAATATAAGAAAAGAAGAGAATTTTTAAGTTGTCTTGGGAAAGCATAGGTTTGGCTTTGTAGAGTACGCCGATACTTTTTGATATTTTTGTGTTTATTGTATTAATATGGGTTTTCCAATTAATATTCTAGTCAATAATTATTCCAAGAAACTTAGTTATTTCAGTTCTTTTGATCTTTATGTTATCAATTTTTAGTGAAGGTAGAAAAGTATAAAATTAGTATAAAATTTTTAAGACGGTTGGAGTGAAACAAGATATATTTTGTTTATTCTGTATTCAAAGATAATTTATTTACTTTAAACCAGATGTTGAGGTTTTCGAGGTCAGTTTTCATAGATTCGTAAAGGTCGCTTATAGACGGCAATGAGTAAAATAAATTTGTTTCATCAGCGAACATTATTACATCAAGTTTTTTTAGGGTTTTTGAAAGATCGTTGATATATATTAGAAATAAAAGGGGACCCAGAATGGAACCTTGGGGAACTCCGCATTTTATTTCTAGTAGGTCTGAATATTTATTATGATCTGTAACAACGCAATGTTTTCTGCTACACAGGTAACTTTTGAACCAGTCAAGAGATATATTTTTAACACCATATCTTTCCATTTTTTTAAGTAAGATATTGTGATTAACTGTGTCGAACGCTTTATATAAATCTATAAAAGTCCCTAATACAAATTGCTTTTTATCGAAAGAATTACTCATGCTATTTACAAGATATATATATATATATATATATATATATATATATATATATATATATATATATATATATATATATATATATATATATATATATATATATATATATATATATATATATATATATACTAATTTAAAACATATAATATAATATAATATAATTACAAAAATTGTGACCGTTATAAAAACAAAAAATTTTTTAAATTTTGACGTCACCTTTATAATGGGTTCTTTTACCTAAGTATGAAAAAAATGAAGTCCAAAAATTTGTTTTTAAATATTGTCCATTGTCCAAATTCATACCACCGTACGTTGGAGAACATTGATGTTTTTGTATCTCTAAGGCCTCACGAACTTTTCTTTCAAATTTTTTATCCTCAACTTTAAGTGTTATTACTTTATTCCATTCAATGTCCTCATTACAATTTACATTATGCAAAGCTAATGCAGACTGGTTTAACTTGCCTTCAGTCAAAAATTTTTGGTGTTGTTGAACCTTTGTTCGTATTTGTATTTTTGTTTCACCAACATATACTTTGGAGCATTTGCACTTAATTAAATAGGTTCCTGGGGTGCTGTTGCGTGGTAATTTAGACTCATTTTTTTCACACTTAGGTATAAGAAGCCACTATAAAGGTGACTTCAAAATTTAAAAAATTTTTTGTTGTTATTTAACGGTCACAATTTTTGTAATTATATTATATTATATGCTGATGATGCCAGTGCCTAAAATCCGGCGAAAATTTTAAATAAATTATTCCTAATCTAATAATTCCTAATCCAGGAGCAATAGTTACAGGGTTTTTAATACCTATTTTGCAAATAATTTATTTATTTATTGGGTTAGTGCAAAACCCACTTTCATCGCAGTTTAGTATTTGGGCAGATCTTTTTTTTTTTTTTTTTTTAACATCTTCGCTTCCAACAAGGCTGCAAGCAACCACTAATTAGTGTTAGAAGTTACTGGAAGAGAAAAGATGAAGCTTATAAAGCAAGATAACGATTGACAGACGACTTAAAAGATTGCAAATTATATGAATCAGGAAAGCAAGATGAAGGAAGCGAATTCCAAAGAACTAATGTTTGAGGAAAAAAACTAGTCGAATAAGAGTTTTTGGAGCACTTAGGACCAGTAACAAGAAAAGTATGAGACTTAATTGAATGACAAGTAACACGAGAATGAATTTTTGTAGATGGCACAAGAGACGCTAGCTCTTTAGAGCAGTGCCCATTATAGTATTTGTAGAAAAGAGAAAAAGAAGCAACATTACGACGATGTGACAGAGATTGAAGGTTGGCTGCAAGAGTAGGTCCAACTATGTTTACAATGCGTTTTTGCAGCTTGTCTAAAAGAGAAAGGGCATCATTAGATGATCCATCCCAGATATGGCAACAGTATTCCATACAAGGTCGGATTTGAGATTTATAGAGATAGAGAATAGAATCCAGAGTAAGAAAGTGACGAGCTCGATAAAGAGAAGCGACTTTAGCAGATGCTAATTTTGCAACGGATTTGATATAAGGTTTCCATGAAAGATCAGAAGTAAGAGTTAATCCTAGAAGATGAAGGGTAGGAGACTCATCGAGTACATTACTGTTCATAAATATACCCAGTAAGCACAAGACGCATTTTAGACACTTATAGACGTCTAAAACTAGTCTAGGTAAAGACGCACTTTTATAGACGTTTTAAAGGCATCTTTTAGACAACTTATATGAATGCGTTTTTAAAATGACGTTTAAAAGGCGTCTATTTAAAAGATAAAAAGACGTCTAGAAGACGTCAATTTTTAAGACATCTTCTAGACGTCTTTTATAAAGGCGTTTTTAAAATGACGTTTAAAAGGCGTCTATTTAAGCGTTAAAAAAACGTCTGGAAGATATCTTTTTTTAAGACATCTTCTAGACGTCTTTAATAAATGCGATTTTAACATGACGTTTAAAATGCGTCTTTTTAAAGTTTAAAAATACGTTTAAAAGACGCGTAATAAATAGTCTAAAATACGCATTAAAAGACGTCTAGATCAAAGCTAAAAGACGACTTTTCTGAGACCTGTTTATAAATATGTCATTATGACTTCTTTATGACGGCTTTGTCATTACGTGTTAAGTAGATGTCGTATATTCAAAGTAAAAACATAGTTTTTATTATTTTCAATAATTTGTTCAAGTTTTAAGTGTAAATTACTTTAAATTAAATTACTTTTTTACACAATTGCTAAAATTGTTGTCACAGGAATCACTAAAATAATTGCTATAATAATAATATATCTTTTTTTTATTAATAATTATTTTGCTTTTTTAATAGATAGTTGACTGATCATGATAATAAGTGAAAATGGCAAGAATAATATATAAGTTAAATATCAGTACTTTTAGTTTTTATACACCCACAAGCCATATAATAAGTCAAGTATGCGGTCAAAAATTAGCTGGCAGTTATTATGTTATAATGTAATTTAACTAAAGGTAAGTCATAAATATTTTAAATACTGTTTTGATATATATTTGTTACTGTTATGTATTATTTTCATTGTTGATGCATCAACCGTTGGTGGTGATTACAGCAATATTATATTGATTGCTGGTTCGTATGTATATTTTGTATATACGAAATTATAACAATATATGATGTTATAAATAACAATGAATATATACCACATACTACGCGAAAATGTTACGTCATGTACTTAAATTTATCTTGAAAAAAACGTCTGACATACGTCTAAAACGCGTTTTTATAAAGACGTCTTCATTTAGACGTCTTTTAGCCTTATGATCTAGACGTCTACAAGTGCGCCTTTTAGACCTCCTTAAAGACATCTTTAAAATGTCTTTTAAACGTCTTTGTGCTTACTGGGTAGGAAGGTCTAAATTATTGCGATAACGATTGACTGAAAAAAATTGAGTTTTATCTGAATTAAAGTTCACCAGCCACTGTGAGTCCCATGCTGTAGCAGAAGTGAGATCCTTTTCAAGCTCAGATGTCCCCTGCAAGCAATCAGAGGGAGTTGGCTTCTTATCGTAACAAGAATAAATGGTAGTATCAGCAGCGAACAATGCCACCTTAGATGTGAGAAAATCTGGAAGATCGTTAATGTAAATTAAAAAGAGTATAGGGCCAAGGATTGAACCTTGAGGAACCCCTGAGGTTACAAAATAAGAAGAAGAGTCCTGTCCATCAAGGACAACTTTTATACTACGA